GTGAACTGATCATCTCCTCCACATTAATACCAGTTTCAGCACAAAATAAACATGACTAAACATCCGAAGGTAAGTTAAAAGAAAGAGTACAATTTTACAATCCGTATCCTGTCTCATGTAATCGCTCAATCAGTGTTTCAGCCGCGGAAAGACGCCAATATAACGGCTTGTAAATGTCATGTAATGTCACATTTACCACAAAAAACGTATTCGGTGACCATAAGCTCATTAATCATATAGAAAAATAAACTGTAGAGAGGGGCATTTTGCTAAATATATGCACCATATATTCATTATAACTTTTACTATTCTTCAATGAAGTAGAAATATTATTATGTAATTGTAACTTATTTTATTATAATTGTAATTTAAACAGTTGTTTTAGCCTAAAAAATCAGTCAGTTTTAACCTTCAATATTATAGTAATGTAGTACCAACAGACTCTCATGTATATTTTACATTAGTTGAGAGATTTTTTTCCTTGAGAAAATTTGGCATGATATATCCAAAATAATCGATATTGAATCGAATCAAACCTCAAGCTTGTGAATGAGAATCGAATCGTGAAATTTGTGTCAAAACCCAGCCCTAATATATATTATGCACTCATACACTATGTACTTATGCACTATGTACTCAACCATGTAGTTTATGAATTATATAAGGTTATTTTGTCATTCATAATCTGAGTCTGATAGCCCCTCCCCCTTCGCTACGTAATTAAAGGGTTAGTTCACCCAAAAATGAAAATTCTGTCATTAATTACTCGCCCTCATATGCACCATATAACATATTCATTATAATTTTTACTGTTCTTCAATGTTTAATTTATGTTTGGATAAATCCATCAAGTTTTTATGACAGCCACCATTTAAATGTTTATATTTTTAAAACAAACTACTGTTGAATGGAATCGTTTGCAGAGGAGGAGGCCATGGAGGAGCTTCTGCAAAACGAGATCAACCGGCAAGGTACTGCTGCCTCTCCTTGACACACATTGCACAGGCACTCCAAACTTCATCTCTCATGACAATAATTTGGCAAGAGTGTACAAGGCTTGGTGTCATGTCCACGTCATGCAGTGGTTGAGATCATTGCTTTCTGACGATTTGGAGTCAGAGTTCTTCAAATGAATTGCCTTGCACGGATGGCCAAGGGTGATATGTGCTTCATGCTAAACTTTCCCAGCTGCCGTGTGCTCGTGTCAAGGCTGCAAGTCTTGGCAGGACTCCAGCGGGTGCACTGACCGTGCTCAACCAGTAGCGTAACACACAACACCCTTTCTCCTGTGTCCACTCTTAACTTGCCTGTTGACCTGGCTGGGTACTTGATGTCCGAGTAGGGGTGTGTGATATGACGATTTTTGATCGTGGACGATTAAAATGTCTCCACGATCTGCTTTTGAAGAAATATCGTAGTATCGTGCTACAGTGAATGAGAATCGAATCGTGAAATTTGTGTCAAAACCCAGCCCTAATATATATGTATATATATATATATATTACTGTTAACAAATTTCTTAAAAGATGATGGCAGTAAACCACTATCTAGACATTGTGTGAAGAGTTAATAATGGCAATGGTAACAAACTATAATAAAATATATTCATGGGATACGCTTGGTGGCTTCATGGTGTTAAACAATCGTTTGACGTTTATTATAAACACACTGCAAGATTAAAAATAAATGTACTTTTCTGCGTTGTCTCTGAGGATACAATGCTTGACACTGCTGTATCTTTCAATAAAAGATAATATGAAAAACTGACAAGTGTTTAGAATAATTGACAAAACGTTTCGTTGTGAAATGTGACGAACAAAAGGAAACTTAATCTTTCAGTTCCTTAGGCACATCATTAAAAATAAACTTAGCCATGCGATGTTTAGGGAGGCTATGCAGTCTTTTGAGGTGCAGTTTCTTTACATCCACTGACAGAACAGCATCTGAGACAGAACAAACAGTATTTTAGGGTCTTACTTGACAGATTTATCCAACTGCAGTATCGCTCTTGTGATTGATGGACAGATATGGATTGTTTAGGACATGCCTCCTTGATTACATACAACATGGAAGCATGTTAAGGAGTAGGGCTGCACGATATATCGACATTATCGAAATATCGCAAATGTAAATATCGCAATATGCATATTTGCACAGGCACTCCAAACTTCATCTCTCATGACAATAATTTGGCAAGAGTGTACAAGGCTTGGTGTCATGTCCACGTCATGCAGTGGTTGAGATCATTGCTTTCTGACGATTTGGAGTCAGAGTTCTTCAAATGAATTGCCTTGCACGGATGGCCAAGGGTGATATGTGCTTCATGCTAAACTTTCCCAGCTGCCGTGTGCTCGTGTCAAGGCTGCAAGTCTTGGCAGGACTCCAGCGGGTGCACTGACCGTGCTCAACCAGTAGCGTAACACACAACACCCTTTCTCCTGTGTCCACTCTTAACTTGCCTGTTGACCTGGCTGGGTACTTGATGTCCGAGTAGGGGTGTGTGATATGACGATTTTTGATCGTGGACGATTAAAATGTCTCCACGATCTGCTTTTGAAGAAATATCGTAGTATCGTGCTACATCACATTCAGTTCTGGCACCTCCTCTGTCTCAATACTGTATTGTACACATATTGGACACATTGTAATGATCCCAAACTAGATGGAATGGTTTTTCTATTTTTGGCATTTGCCATTCTTGATGATGAAACGGAGCCCAGCTGTGACTCAGAGGCCCTGTTCAGACATGTGTTAACTGCCTGATGTGGTGTGCGGCTGCTTGCTCACCAGGATGTATCAGCGGCAGATAGTACAGACTCTTCACTGGCTCAGGAGAGGAGGTGAGAATGGCTGCTGATGGAGGCGTAGCATTTCCACTCTCTTCTATAGAAATCTGTGAACAAGATCTAGCCACACAATCCAAGACAAAGATTCTTGCTGGTTGATGTGTCAGGGTGGTGCAACTGTCATGAGCATACTGAAGAAAAAGCCTCAGTAAAAGGATTAAATGTACTTATTGTAGTATTTTTTTTTTTTAAGAATGATCTTTGGAGTTGTTGCCTTTTTTGGACAGGACAGTAAAGAGAGTTGGCAGGAAGTGAAGTAGGTGAGAGAGGAACTGGACTGGAAAGGACCATTAGCAAAGACTCAAATTTGAGCTGCCTATGAGGCTACCTGCTCAGACAAATTTTTGAATAATGAACTAAATTGGCGTGATCTTTTAATTAATGTAGAATTACTGGCGTAATTTATTATTATTATTTAATATCAACCAACTGCTCATGAAAAGCAGTTTCAGATTTTTATATTATGTTTGCTCGAGGTTAGTTTATAAAGTTTGCAAAGTTTCTTTTTTTTTTCTTCTCACCAATAAGCCCATTTTCTTTATTCACGCTCTCTGTGAAACTCTGTCACCTCTTGCAGAAACTTAAGTAAATGGCCTTCTGTGATTTAATTGCACTGTATCCAAGCCTTCTTTTACAGCATGTCGTGTGTTTTGAAACTTGAGATGGCAAGCCCTGTGATAGATCCACACAAATATATATTTGAGCTCACTCAAATCAGATCCCATGGGAGAGGAAATTGAAAAAACGCAATCACTTGCAAAGTAAATCAACATAAACATAACCAAATATCTGTATGT